ATGTTTACAATTCGTAGTACACAGAAGTGTACTAAACTAAAAATTAACTTTCCTTGCTTTTTTTGAAGMAAAGTCTTGRACGATGTCTTCTAAATCCAATTCTTGCGCCAAGTCGGACTCAATGGATAACAATGCTAACCCGGTTAACCTTTCATTACTCATGGTTGATCTGAGGTGGTTTTTAATAAGTTTCGACTTAGAAAAACTCCTCTCAGCTGACGCTACAGTGACCGGAATCGTTAGGACGATTCTCAAACTAATCGTAATATTAGGRTAAATTTCTTGTAATTTTTTATTATAAATAAGCTCAAGATTTTTGTTGGGAGAACTATTTGGTTCGGTAAGTTGACAAAATAATTTTAGTTCTTCAAATAGTTCTATTGCGTCGATGTCAGATGTTTCATTTGCTGATAATAAAATAGCCAAATCTTTGCAATGATTTAATAATGTTTCGTGCTCCCAGTTTTTTAATAAGTTAATATTGWATAAGAATCCAAAATTTAAACAATGGTGGTTTAACAGATCAAATCTTTCTTGTAAAGAATTAATGGCTGTGTCTATTATTGTGTGGAAAAACTCTACTTCAAATTTCTTTTCTGGATTATGAAGAGGCGTTTCATCTCTGTTTTCATAGCTTAAATGTGTTTTTTTTTGTCGTTTACGTACTTGATATTCTTCGGGAAATTGTCCTGGTATTTCTATTAATAGAGCAATTTCTTTTGCAGCTATTTTAACTTTGGAAAACCCATTTTGACGGTATTCTTTTAAAAATTCTACAATACTTGATATACTTTTAAGGGCCATTTGTATATTATAATGTATAGATTGCAATTGTTTACTTATTGGGTTAACAGCACTCAATATATCGTACCAAACAATGACAGAGGATATAAATTTAAAGTCACAGATATTTTTTAAGAGAGCACATGCATCAGATTTTGTCTGCAGACTATGTGAACCAGTTAAATTCAAATCTTCTTTAATGTGAAGCAAAGCATCATACATTTCTCCAAATTGATGCCGTATTGGCCTTATTGCATCAATTCTTGATTCCCAGCGTGTATCACACACTCTTTTTAGTGTTAATTTTGGCAAAAATTGTAGTAAAACTTTCCATCTATCAGTAGACGCTGAAAAAAAAACATAGAGTTTCTGAACTATGCCAAAAAATGAAATTGCATCTACATTGCATTTCGCTGCGTCATTTATAACCAAGTTCAATGAATGGGAATTACAAGGTACATAAAACGCACGAGGATTAATGTTTAATATACGTTTTTGAACACCATTTTGTTTTCCTCTCATATTTGAGCCATTATCGTAGCTCTGAACACGCATGTCGTTATGGTGAGTGATGAATATAAATATATTATATTATAATWTATATTATATTATATTATATTATAATATATATTATATATAATATATAATATAATGACCATACTCTGAGTGCGCATAAAAATAAAAATCAGTACACTTATGGCAAATAGAGTATAGTGACTAAAATTGTTTAATAGGTAGCCAACAACTCGATAAAACTGTTATAATTATTGATGTTCAAAATGAGTGCTATTTATTTTAAAACTAATATGATTAACAAATGATTTTATTTTGTTTTTACAGAAGCCGTTAAAGATATGTTTCCCGATGAGTCCATATTATCAATCAAAAGTTATATTAGTGATTGGCTGAAACAAGCCCCTAAAATAAAATGAGATATATATATATATATTTATTTAATATTATAATAAATTAAATATTGTAACAGTATAAATGTTTATCTCATTTAGTTTTTAACTAGTTGATAATGCACTATACATTAAAAAAAATTGCTTATAAATATTAAATATGAAATGTTTATTGTTTCTTAAAATCAACAAAACACCCAGTATTGTTAGAAATCTATAGGCAGATTATGCACAACTGCATTGATCAATTAACATTAGTTATAAGATTTTATCTCTTTGAAGAGTCCAAATAAATATTTAAAATATTCTGTTGACAGGTTTCTAAATGAACTAAATAATATTAATTTAATATAAGTACTAAGTTTGTATGTAAAATATCAATCCTCCTCTAAATATAATATACAAAGCTTACACAAAAAATATTCATTCAATATACTGCATTTATACAAATAATATCCATTGTAAATGTATACAAAAAATATCCATTCTATTCTTAAAAAATATATGATCTTTACATAAAAAAATATCCACTGCATACTCTAAATATATACTAACCTTACACAAAAAAAATATCTATTTTATTTCGAAATATATACTAAATCTATACGAAAAATATCTATCGTATATGCTTAATGTATATGAAACTTACACGCAAAATATCCCAAAAAACGACTTAATACTTACAGAATATACATCAATGTACGATTAACACATACTAAACGTAGTATATTTGTTAAATAGTTATCTTTTGAGCCCAAATTATCCCATAATTATTCAAGCATTTCAATCAATTAGTCTGCTTATCATTACCGTGGTACGTAACGAACAAATTACTCCACGATGACCTCCAAATCAGAACAGTCTACCGTCTACGACACAGCCATCAATTTCTACRAAAGGTTTCATGGGAAACTCCTCATGATCCACAACCACCTCATCTTTCAACTGGCCTCAAGGAGTTCCTGACAGCCCTACAAGACGCCTCAAGCACAATTGGTGCAGGGACCTTCTTAAATTATAAAATAAACCATATTATTTATAAATTTACCTCAAATCACTGTAAAAGGTGATTCGACTGCGAGTTTTCTTTCAAGTCATTCAACTCCTATTGTATTTTACATTATTCTTATTTACATCATATTTACTTATTGCATATAGTGTACAATAAATTGTAAATTCTCAATAAACGCCAAAATACAAAAAAATAAATAAGTTGTTCGAAAACATATGGACGTATAAAGACTAAAACGTCTATATAGTAACCATGGTCCATAAGTGTTACTCCGTTACAGAGTGTACTCTATAGTGTACAGTGTGCTTTGTTATAAAACCATTATTTATGATTGTAATAGTTATTACTTATTATCATCATACCTAATCATCATCGATAATTATTTTCAACGCTTAAATTATTGTTGTCTYACAAAGTCACAACGAATCGAGAGAGCACGGTCGGTTCGCGATCGGTGGTTAGCAAAATGAGAACCACTGAGAACCGAATCGCGTTCGGAATGTTCGGATGTCCAATGACAGCTGCGTTCGTAGCGGTGGCGAAGTGCCGCCACTTTTGTTACTATCTGGCATCTGCAACGACTGTAACAGTGTAACCGCCACCGTCACCGCCATCATCACCGAATACCGACTCATTTCCAATTTCCACAGTATCTCGAGTCCTCGACTACCTCGTAAAGTCGTAACGAATAACGACKCAACAGTAAGTTGGTTCGCCGGCATTGGACGTTGATGTCACGCAATAAACTGATTACTAACACCACTGTAGCTCTGCGACCAGCCGGAGCCGAGCCGCGTTCGGTATGGTACTGTGGTGTGCAGCGTACCGGCTTTGTTATGGACAGGTTCGTGATTCGCCTTTAATCTCTCAACTTCAATGTTATCCTTCCTTGCCGGTACTGCTTTTCTGTCGACCTTACCGCTTAAGTATTTACCATGTTCTCAGTTTCCGTCAACTCCGAACCGACAGTGATCGTTTTCCGTTAGTTATGTGTCATCGGTCGGCATAAGATTTATAATAATAACAATTAATTATACGACGCACAATAATATTCTATTTTATTATTCTCATCGTCTATTGAAACCGGTGTCGATTTCGCGTCTTGTGAAAACACGTGTTTATGCTCGTTTTGTTTATTTTATCTGTAAGTTATGTAAGGTTAGTTGTTGGTCTATCCTCGTTTTTGACGGAGATTGGCAAGAAATTATTAATTTGGTGCCAGTGATTTCAGTAGAGACTACAGAGTCTAGTAGTGAATACTGGAGACGTTGAACAAAGACTACGTGTCTACGTCCAGATCAAGGCGATAGTTGTTCGTCATGCGTAGTATCTGGATTGGTTATTTTCCTACTGAATGTTCCATATCTTTAGTACAACTCCAAGCAAGTGAAAGCCGTGTATTGCTTCAGAATTCAGTGTATGCATTAGTTTAATAATTCATCGTTGTGATATTTTGCATGTCGTTTGAACACTTTAAACAGTGGCTTGTGGTAAGTTAAGAATGCATACCATTAATGTTTCCATTTCTTACTGCCTCCTGTTTTATTATTTATAATGTCTTTAACTGGTATTTTTCTTTCATAGGTACCTATGATATCTTAAGCTGTATAGAGGCATATATCAATTGACACTTATCATTGATTATAAATTCAAAATCAATCATGTGTTTGTCATTAATATTATCGTAAACAAAAATTCACTATTGAGATCTACTGTCTTCAACAATTTGTATAATAAACAATCATCATCTGGATCACTGGCAGGCCGCATACTACAAGGTAAAAACATAGTTAATTAATAACTTATTATATTATTAATGTCCGATTTCACCATGTAGAGTTTAAGTGTGAGTTACCGGTAACACAAGGTTAGAGCTAAAAAGTAATTGATTAATATGATATTACTATCTACTTCAATGGTATAATTGTAAGGTGAAGGCATGGCATCAATTTCACTGTCATCACAATAAAATTGTGAAGACATGCCTTCAACAGACAGTTGCATCATATCCTTGACTTTTTCTTTTATGTCATTGAGAGCAAACAATGCATTCAGTGCCTAGACAGGATTTTTTTATGGGGGGGGGGGAGTTCATAATTATATTGAAGTAATATTTAAAACATTTTATGTTAACACGATATATTTATCACTACTACTACTGAAAATGGTTATAGTATACTTTAATTATAACAGAATATCTATTTTTCTCGGCTTTTTGGCCATTTCATATTTCATCTAATATTTCTTCTGGTATGATTTCAATATTCCTGTAATAACTCAGGAGCACTAATCCATTAAGACGATCCTGTTCAACAAAGAGTCTAATAAATAATTATAATATAAATCAACATATTTAATTAATTATAATCTACCTCTTTCAAACTATATCTGAGATAGGATTTTACTCTTTTTAAACTAGAAAAGGATCTCTCTGGCGTTGCAGTCGAGACGGGAAGTGTACATAGAACTTTTAATGAAACAAATATATTAGGAAATATAACTGGACCACAATGCTTGATAGYATGTAATGCATTTGATGGCAACGTTTCATCATCCTTGGTTACCATGCGCTTCATTTTTTTCTTTCCAAATTTGTAGCTCACAGGTAGCTGTGGTAATATCAATATGATGGATATAAAATCATGCATTACTCCCACTTCCTGTTTTTAGACGTTCCAGTTTTGAAATAATCAAAATTATCAATAATGAAGAGAAATATTTTTCGCACAAATTTTTTGATATTCTTTTATTTTAATTGAAGTTGACTTACGGAAGAACTAATTTCACTCGGCTATTAAATTCCAAGACCAGTTTCATCCAGCAGGCTCTTTTTCAAAATATACCAACCATAAATATTCAGAAGGTAGTACAGTTAATATTACTAAATACCTAGGTAATTATTTTACCTTTTTATAATTGCTGTATCTTAATTCTTAAGTAAATAAATAAACACTTAGAAAATAAAATACCCTAATATTTTATAATTAAAGATATAACTTATTATGATAAATCTATGGACAATATATTTATAAATTTAATATAAAATATATTATTTACATTTTATTTTCCACTTAAATTACAAAAAAATAATTGAAGATTTTATAAATTTTTTATTACATAAAATACTAAGGCTATTTAGGATTGCCTTTTGGCGTTATTTTGTGTCAACTTACTAATCCTTACGATCGGATGCATGACTCGGATGTTGTATATGGTTGTACCAGTCCTATAATGTTTAACCCTTTCAGGCCCAACAGTAGAGTTTTAAAACCAAAAWTTTTTTTTTTGCTTAGTTTTTTTAATTACATCTAAATTAAGAGAAAAAATATGTTTTCAAAATGTTTGATGAATTTTCCTAGCCAGGAAAAACATAATGCCTAAAGTTATCATTGGGAATTTAAGGTTATAATAATGGTTTTAGAAAATGTATTTAATGTTTTGCAACTTTCACTTTAATTCTTTATTATTTAAACAAAATATAACACAAAGTAAATTTCTTTTAATATTATACAAAATAGATAACAGCACAAGCTTAAAATACATTTAAATATAAAATAATTAATTGCAGGAACTTTCTTTAGAGCCTTCATAGATAATATCACAAATTAATTTCTTTTGAAATGGTATAAAACAAATACAATTTTTTAACATAACATGCTTACTACATCTTTTGTACACATCCTCATTAAATAAACTTTTATCTTAAA